CAAGTGCAAAATGATGATATAAAACCATGATAAAAATGCACTTTTAAGTACTAATCATTGATATTTTAACGTTGACATTTATTGTTATCATTGTTTAATCATTACGTTCATCTTTCATCTCAAAGTTCTTATCAACTTCTTTATTATTATTATTCTTGTTGTTGTTGTTGTTATTGTTGGTATTGTTGTATTATTGTTATCTATAATTTATACAATTAACTTCCCTATAGTTCGACCCCGATCTTGTCGAGTTATTTATTACTTCGACACTCTTGTACTTGGGAGAAGACATCAATCTTTTGGTCGTGTTAAGTTTTTGGTGCCATTTCCGGGGATGTAAGTTCTTGTATAAATTATAGTATTTATTTTATTTTCTTCTTTCACTTTTTCTTGTACATAACTTTGTTTCTCTTGTTTTGTTTCTCCTTCTTTTGTTTTCTCCTTTCTTTTATTCTATTCCTACATGTGCATGAGAGTGTGGTTACGTACATTAAGTGGTAGACTTTGTAAAGTATCCTCATCATTTTCAAAAAATATAGTCGAAGAAGATAATCGATCACTTCATAATGAGAATAACCATGTTAGAATACTTAGAGACCACATGAATCTCACAAGAACAAGTGCATCATCATGCATAGTTTTTTCCCCTGTTGGATCTCATTTTTATTTTAAACCAAGCATTATTTAACTTTTACAATTAATCTCGTTATGGGTAGACCCTGATCTTGCTGGGTTATTTATATCTTCGACATTCCTGCACTTGGAAAAAGATATCAATCTTTTGATCGTGTCAATTACGCCATCACCAGTACCATAAAAACATTTATACAAGATAAATCAAATAATATCAAGATCATCAATGATGACCTGAGTGGGCTATATTTGCCGCAAAAAGCAAATAAGCCACCTACCACTTTTGGAAGACAACACATGCGGGTTACCATTGGTGGCCTTGCTTGAAGTTGTTGAATTTATCTCATCAAGAATTTTTTTGATAGTATAGTGGTGTAATAATCAAAGCTTTAGTGTGTTTCCAGAGTCTATTTCTTTTTTTTCTTTTTTTTTTTTGCTCTCTCCTCTTTTCTAATATATAGCCTATTTTATAAATTTTTTTAGCTTATCGTTATTATGAATAGTGACAAACTATGAATATCATGTTTTTCAATTATGACATGTATAAATCGTGTTATTTAAAAAAAACTATGTTATTTTACCAATATTTAAAAAAAAACTATTTTTTTAAATAAAAACCACTTTTGATGAAGGCTTAGTTTGTCCAATCAAATTAAGATGACCACACTCACAAATATTTAGATGACTTGTCTATTAAGAATAAGCGGGACATTGCAAAAAAAAAAAAAACTAAAAGGAATCAGCCTTTTGTTGTAGCAAAAGATATTATGCACTCTCTCGTAATTCATTATATATTAGAGCAGTGTATTTTTTAAGAATTTTTACTTTGATCCTCAAACTTTTATTTTAAATGATTTGTCTATTTTAAGCCAAAATTAGCCCCTAATTGCATATTTTCTTAGGAGAGAGGAATCAATTTAAACCTAAAGGACTGAAGTAAAACTCTTAAGGAACATGGGGGCGGGTTGAAAGTTCAGTTGAAATATTCATTTTAATCCCCAATATTTTCTTCTTTTTTTAGTCCATTTTTGTTTGGAGGAGAGAGAGGTGTCCCTAGATTCCAACCTAAAGAGAGAAAGTGGCTATTAGGGAAGATTTTATCCATTAAAACAATTGATTTTTATGTTAAAAGGTTTCATATGATGAGGAGGGTTACGTTTAAGTGTGTTTTTTACCTTGAAAACACCTAAAATGATTTGAGCTTGAGAAGAATTTTTGTTTCCGATAGATTTCAGGTTTTAAGGCGATTTGTTAGCTTTTAGGTGGCCATAGAACGGTTTGCCAAGGTCTCTAGGGGTGTTTTTTTAGGTGTTTTTGGTAAAAAAAAATAAATTAAAAATAAGATTTTGGGTGAAAAGATAAAGACCTCGTTTTTCTAGCCACCACAGTGGCCGAATTCTAAGTTTCTCAAATGACATATCGTAAGCTGACACAGGCGATGTGTCATTTTTTTAATTATTTTGGGTGGACAACATGTCCTCCATCCCATTAATTTTTTTTAAAAAAAAAAGTTTAAAGGCTTGCGCTTAAGCCTAACGTTGCCAACTCGCATGCAGGCAGTTGCTTTATTGGGGCAGGCACTAGGCCTGAGTTCCTAGTCTCAGCAATGCCTGACCTGGTTCTTTTTTTTATTTTACAATTTTTCTTTTAAAAAAATAATGCATTATTTGCGTATATCTTTTCAAATAAATTTTTGATTTGTGTTTTAATTCAATTATGATTATTTTTAAATGATATTAAATGTATTTAATTTTTAGAGAAGTAGGTATGATTCATCTGTGTTTTTTTATTAATTGTTTATAGATTTTTTTTAATATTGATTTTTTTTAATATTTTTCATATAAGTAGCCTTGCATTGATTTTTTCTTTAATTAGTGTTCAATAAATTTTATGTGTTATGTGCAGCCTTGCATTTTTTTTATTTATAATTATTGTTCAATAAATTTTATGTGTGTCGGTTTCTACTATAAATTTTATGTGTTTTTCTATTACAAATTTATCTTGATAGAGGAATTTATTAAACATAACTAGATAAATTACTCGTGTAGTGATGTTAGATATCTTGATTTTTATTTTTCACTTAGTTTTCTCAATTTCATTTTTGTTTATTATTGATGAATTGTTTTGCTATATATATGAAAAAAATCTAATAGAGGAAACTATTTGGCCAATATTTATCCAAGAAAGTTTAAAGGTTTTTCCATTCTAAGACTAATATTTGAGATATGTACCATATTTATTTTATACATTTAGTCCATACATATAGATCGATATATAATATATGTTTGCATATACTTAACTAAGTTTTTCATGTCCTTTTAGTAACAAGGAGTTGACAAATATTCGTTATTCTTTATTTACTAATAGTTGATGAAACTTTATTTTTCACCCAAAAACTAAGTTTTTATATTTTTTTGTTCATTATGCTATTTTTTATTTTATGTTGCTCAAATAATGTTTAGATTTTTTATGTTTCTTTATATTTTATAATTTGATTATTATATAAAATTTGAGATAATTTAAGCAAGTATTTTATATATTACTTATCTGTTGTTTGAAAGTAAAATTATAGTTTTTAATGTTACCACCAACTCTTCATTAGAAAACGTCTTTTTCTTTAATTATCTCGTAATTAAAAACAACGCACGTGTTTCCATAGCCTAACATATGTCTACACAAGGTCATATACGCAATCAAAAAGTATTGGATCTCCGGATTGAAGTTGGATCTTAACATGAAAACTAACATTGTTATAATTAAAGAAGTTAACAAAACAAAATGAAGAGTAGATTGACTCTATCAATATAAAAAATAGTACGGGCAACGCACTTTACAAATATAAAAAAAAATCTATGAAAATGTTGAAATTAATTTTGTTTTAATTGAATAATAATAATAATAATAATTAATAAAGGATAAAAGGTGCTCCGCTCCTAAAAATCAATAATTCACGAGCAAATTATTTGATGGAGTAAGCTCTTGAGCAATCAGGATTTAATGAGATTCTTATGTTAACTGAATTTTTATTTTTACTATTATTATTACTACTACTACTACTATTATTATTATTATTATTATTATTAAGTTTTAATTGAAAAATAGATCAATTGTTCTTAAAATATTTTCTTTTATATACACTAGTATTAATTTGAATGGTGATTTCACAAAGCTTGTGGATAAATTTAATATCCAAATTCCACAAAATATGATTTAATATGAGAAACTATTAAGTTAAAATGATAATAAAAAAAATGGTAATTGTGCCCTTTTCCATGAAAATCTGCATGGAGGTGGGTATGGAGGGGCTCTTATCTTCATGGATTCGGGGTTGCTGGTAGGTAAACAAGTTACTTAATTTATTCGGGCATGGGGATTTGTAGAGTATCCTTGATTTAATGAATTTATAACTAAATAATATATTAAATTAATAATTTTTAAATAATTATCTAAATTAATTTATGTAGTTTTTTTTATAAGTCACTTTAGTTACTTTGTTTGATAAATAGAAAATATTTTATTTAATAAAATTTATCATGATAAAAAACTACATGGACATCAAATGATCAAGGCTTGCCTCCTATACATGCAGGATTGGAAATTATTTCCAATTTAAATGAAGATGGTAAAGGGGCTAAGAGCTTTTTATAGAGTTTTAGCTCTGAAATCTATATTAAAAAATAATATAAATTATATATTGTTTCTCTCCTAATCATTTTAATTTTTTTATTGAAAATGTTATTTAACAAGATATTAAAAATTAAATAATTATATATTAAAATCTTAATATAAATTAGACATTCATACATCATTTTGCCCTTTTAAGAAAGCATTAAAGGGGCAAAATTTTGAACTTTCTTTTTTTATATACAAAATTTTGATTTTCCTTATCTTATATAAGAGAAAATTAAAGTAATACAAAAAAATGGACAGAATTTCACTCATAAAATCCTCTAAAAAATTGTATTCATTCATTTTCCATCAACATATCTAGACGAACAAAACTTCATTTTCCCTCAGTATTCTTAAATAAATTTGATTATTAATTTATTTATTTTGAATGTAAATGATCTATTGAAAATATGATAACAATAAACTTATTCTTCATGTAGAAAAGCAGACACAATCATGACCTTATTGCTAAAAATTATATTTATAAAAAACACTCAAGGTTTACCGCACCATGACTTCTTCAACAATTAATTTTTCATTCCAAAACAATTCTCAGGAAGCCTCTGACAGACAAGTTTCCTCGATCCTTTCCACTATTCATCCATGACAGAGCATGTTCGAGTATTATTTTTTAAAATATTTTTTTATTTAAAAATATATTATAATAATATTTTTTAAAAAAATAATTTTGATATTAGCATATTAAACCTTGATTTCATAGCTAGCTTGAAATGTTCACATAATTAAAAAATTATTTTTGAAAATAGCATATTAAATTTTATTTTTTTATATTTTAATAAAATTAAAATTTAGTAATTTTAATTTGATAAGATATATCTCACTAAATTAATATTTTATCTCATTTAATTGAAAATCCAAATTTCAACACAACTTCAAAGGCATTGTCAAACTTGATAAATAATAGGAGCAGTAATCATCACGAACAGCCAAAATAGGTACTCCACTTACATTTAAGTAGAAGAATAACATGCGATTGAGACAGTCAATCAGATGAACAAAGAAGGCTTTGAATAATAAATAAAAACAATCTATGATGATGGAATATCAAAGAGGGGAGATCTATGTTTCAAACCAAGTAAGAATGAATATATGTCATTTAATTTCAAAGCACTGCACATGTATTTTTTGACTCGTTATAGGAGAAATTCTCAATAACGTCCAACAAGATTCTGAATAAAGAAATAATCATTGAGTTAATAATAACAAAGAATCACAGTTTTGACCCTTCAACAGAAAGAATATGAGATGAACCCTACTATTATAAAATTCTCAAAAGAAAAAAGGTTCAAACCCTACCATTAAAAAGAACATTTTAGATTCTAGTTCAAAGAAATTGCCAGATAAGATTTCAAGTCAATCTAACCAAAGATGGAATCTAGAGGATTGCTAGATCGGGTTTTTATTGTTCCATTAAACTATCAACAGTTGCATTACGTATAAAATTCATCTGACAATAACTATAAAATTAGATAAAATATTATTAAAAATAAAATTAAAATTACAATATGAATAAATTTATTTTATTTTAAAAAATAAAAATAAATTATTATTCACGTTCAATGAACAATGCAAATGAAATCAATTAACTACACTAGTTTTTTTAAGAAGAAAACTATTCAAATAAAGACATGTTTTCATTGT